GTCCACATCCCCTCCAGCATCTGTTGTTGTAAGAGTTCTTGATTTTTGCCATTCTAACTGGAGTGAGGTGATATCTCAATGTTGTTTTGATTTGCGTTTCTTTTATGGCTAGGGATGTTGAACATTTCTTCATGTGTCTACTGACCATCCTTCTTTCTTCTTCAGAGAAGTTTCTCTTTAAGTCTTTCGCCCACTTATTTATTGGGCAGTTGTTAATTTGAGGATTTGTTGTTGGGGGGTTTAATTTTTTGAGTTCCAAGTATATTTTAGATATGAGACCCTTGTCCGTTGTATGGCTAGTAAAGATCTTCTCCCAATCCGTGGTTTTTCTATTGATCTTGCTAGCTATGTCATTTGCCTGCAGAAGCTCTGCAACTTTATGCAATCCCATTTGTCCAACCTTTCTTTGATTTGTTGTGTTTCCGGGTCTCTATCTGAAAGAATTTTCTAAGATCAAAATTGAATACATGATTGTAAAACTGAGACCTAATTTTCTGTATTTAAACTGGAGGTGGTTAACCATCATCCTCTGTGCGATATTAGGCCCATGAAATAATTTGGCACATCATTATTCAGAAACATATACTTGGGGTTGGAAGCATGGCTCAGCTGGTAGAGCTCTAGCCAAAAAGTGAAAGTTTCGGATACCAAGTTCTAGCCCCAAAGAAATCATACAGAGAAATAAGAAGCATATACTTCTAGTTGGCTCTCACCAACTGTTCAGAACCTTTCTGCCTATATTGATCATTTTTATGGTCCATAAAAAATGTTACAAATATCAAAATGGCCTTTGACTATCAAGTTATCCCTTCATCCATTACTGAGCACTTGAGGGGTATTCAGCCTTTGATTATTGTGAATAGTGCTGAAATAAACATACCCATGCAGGCATCTTTGTTGTGTATTGATTTATATGTCTTCAGACACGTGCGTGCACACACACACCCATACACATATACGCACTCAGTAATGGCATTATGGGGTCATAAGGAAGGTCTACTTTTAGTTTTTTTTTTTTGAGGAATTTCCATAGTGGTTGCACTAGTTTACATACCCACCCACAGTGTTGGAGGTTTACTTTTTCTATGCATCCTGGCTAGTATTTCTTGTTGTTTGTTTTCTTGATGGATGCCCTTATGACTTGGATGAGATAGAATCTCAGTGTGGTTTTGATTTGCATCTGCCCTTTGGCTAAGGACATTGGAACATTTCTTCATCTATCTTTTAGCCATTTGTATTTCTTCCTTAGAGAATTGTCCATTAGCTTGTCTGTTTATTAATTCAATTACTTTTTCATTATCTAGCATTAAAAGACAACATTAAATGTGGATTTAAATATTATTGACAAGATATGCATATAAGTCATGTTAATATTTACACTGAAAAGTGAATATCTCTTAGGATAATAAAAATGCTTGATGACATAATGCTTTCAATCATAATCATTGTCCCCAATTTTTTTGTGTATACTCACATCTAGACTGTCACTGGTTAACTTTTCTTCTAAATGGTAACCATCTCTGTTCTAAGTTGTTTTGGTCATCTGTACTTTGCACTCTGGAATGTTTGCAGAGAGACTTATAGAAAATGATGTTAGTATTTATTTGTTAAACAAATTATCTTTTAAATATTTTCTCGTGTGTGTATGTGTGTGTGTGTGTGTGTGTGTGTGTGTGTGTGTGTGCTGGGCGTAGGGATTGAACTCAGGTCCTAGGTGTGGTCCTTGAGCTGTTTTTGCTCAAGGCTAACACTCTACCGTTTGAATCACAGTTCCATTTCCACCGTTTTGGTGGAACTCTTATTCAAGATAGGAGTTTCATGGAATAGTCTCTGCCAATGCTAAATTTGGACAACAATCCTCAGATCTCAGCCTGGGGAGTAGCTGGGATTTCAGGTCTGAGACACTAGAGCCAGACCTATTATTAGTTTTGTTTGGCATTTTTATCCTAAAACTTTGTGACTGCAATGTGATCACATATTGCAAAAAAATGTATGTTTTATGGAAAACAGCATTTTAGCATGTTAGGATATCACCTATAAGGACAGATAAAATTAAACTTACAAATGGACTCCAGGAAAACCTAGTCAAAATGGACTCCAGGTGTTAGCCCAAGAGCCTCCTCTCTCATAGCTTAGCATGCTCTTTCCCTCAGCAACACTAGGCCCATTTAGTAAAGGCAGTAAATGATTAGCCCATACCCCCTTTACCTGAGAGGGCTCTCCTTTGGGATAACTACCACCACTTAGGGAAGCAAGATCCCCTAAACCTCACAGGTCATATGGGTAAAGAAGGAGTCCAACCAGCTGTGATAAAGAAAACCATTATGCAGAAATGTAACCCAGAGGAAAGTTAGTAAAAATGTCTTGGAAAGGGAAACTGAGGAAACACTTTGGATAAGAAAGGATTTGGAGTTGGCACACTGGACTGGAAGCACTGGACCTGGGAGGTGTGTTTGGCGGGTGGCCATGAGAGGTTATGGCAGACATGGCTCCCACCGTGTTAGCGACTGACCCCAAGCCCAAGTATCTTTTTAAAGGCATCTGGGCAGTACTGCTGGGGCCTCCTGGAGCTGGCAAAGGTAACCAGCCACCAAAATTGGATGAGAACTTCTGTGTCTGTCATTTGGCCACTGGTGATATGCTGAGGGCCATGGTGGCTTCTGACTCAGAACTTGGGAAAAAGCTGAAGGCAATTATGGATGGTGGAAAGCTCATGAGTGATGAGATGGTAGTGGAGTTTATTAAGAAGAATTTGGGAGCCCGGTGCTGGTGGCTCATGCCTGTAATCCTAGCTACTCGGGAGGCTGAGATCTGAGGATCGTGGTTCAAAGCCAGCCCGGGCAGGAAAGGCCATGAGACTCTTATCTCCAACAAACCACTAAAAAACCGGAAGTGGTTCTGTGGCTCAAGCGGTAGAGCTCTTGCCTTGAGCTGAAGAGCTGAGGGACAGCACCCAGGCCCAGAATTCAAGCCCCACGACCGACAAAAGGAAAAGAAAAGAAAAGAAAAAGAAAGAAAGAAAGAAAGAAAGAAAGAAAGAAAGAAAGAAAGAAAGAAAGAAGGAAAGAAAGAAAGGAAGGAAGGAAGAAATAAAGAAAGAAACAAAGAAACAAAGAAAGACAGAAAGACAGAAAGACAGAAAGACAGAAAGAAAGAAAGAAAGAAAGAAAGAAAGAAAGAAAGAAAGAAAGAGAGAGAGAGAGAATTTGGAGACCTTCTTCATGCAAAAAATGGCTTCCTTCTAGATGGCTTCCCTCAGACTGTTAGGCAGGCTGAAAAGCTTGATGACCTCATGGAGAAAAGGAAAGAGAAGCTTGATTCCATGATTGAGTTCTACATCCCAGACTCCCTGCTGATTCGGAGAATCACTGGAAGGCTGATTCATCCCATGATGAATGAGTGGCCGGTCCTATCATGAGGAGTTCAGCACCCCAAAAGAACCCATGAAAGATGACATCACTGGGAAACCCCTGATCCGGCTATCAGATGATAACGAGAAGGCCTTGAAGATCTGCTTGGAGGCTTACCACACTCAGACCACCCTGCTGGTAGAGTACCACAGTAAATGGGGAATCCACTCTGCTGTCGATGCATCCCAGACCCCAGATGTCATGTTTGCAAGCGTCCTAGCAGCCTTCTCCAAAGGCACATCTTAGTGGCAGAAGGCCACACAAGACTGCACCACTGTTGGTCACCTCACGGTGTGATCTCTGTTCTCAGGTGCTGGGCAGAAGGGAAGGGTGGTTAGGGGAAGGAGGGAAAGGGAAGGGTGGCCAGGTACTCGACCATAATTTAGAAGAGCAGTGCTGCTGTAGAGAATGGGGTTTTCTTACACATGGATGGGAGTTTTAGAAGTATAAAGAAAGATTAAATTTTTTAAGACACTGTGATTGGAGGGTATGGATACAAATAAGGAGATAGAGTATTATAAGCAATTAGGGTTTTGTTTACTCTGGACTGGTGACAAATGTTTTTAAAGTCAATGCTCTTAAAATCAGAACCTCATGGAGTCTCCACCAAGAACACAGAAAATCAAACTGTGGTCTTGTCTGTCCTACAGCTTGGAACAGGGAGCATTTGACTACAGACAACATCATATGATCAAAATATCATCTGTATGTTTGCAAAAGATAAAGGATGGCTCAGCAAATCACGTTTACTAAAATTATAAGGGGTGAGAAACTAGTTTCACTCCTGTCCCCTGACTTTACCAGTCCCCCTACTCTCATGGCATAACTCTCAGCAGCCGCCACAAGTCTTACTGAGTTTTATCTATGGTGTATGAAGCAACCTTCTTAAATAAATAAGGGCTGGAGTGTAGCTCAGAGGCAGAGCACTTGCCTGGCATGTGCACGGCCCTGGGTTTGATCCCCAGGACTGTGAAGAAAAACAAAAACAAATGAGCAAGTATCCTAAACTACATCATCCAAAGATTGTCTTTTCCAGCCTCAAATTCTGTGACTGGGATCACTCGACAGCACTGTGATGTTTTATTTTCAACAAGGTGCCTTTCTTAACTGACCAGATGCTGCCTTGATTGGCTCCTAAGTCAGTAAAGAATGTTAAGTTAAAAACAAAAAAACAAAAAGAAAGAAAGAAAGGATTTGGAAAGAATTGTCTTAAATGTTTGTTTCAAAATGGAAAATGGTAGAAGTTAAAACAAACCTCAGAAGGTTCTAGTAAGTAGCAGATGGTATTCTTGTAACATAAAGCTTATTAAAATTGGTATGTGATTAAGTTAGCTGTGATTTGAACACTGGTGTAAAACCAGCATGTCATTCTTTATGTCCATCTAAAGTCAAGTAATCAGTCTGTGTAGAAATTTGTAAGCAACTCAGCAAGAGATGTGACAATCCATCTGAGGGACACAATCTAGCCCAGATCCTGCTAGGACCATCCTGACTACCTCTACCATGGTAAAAATAGACTGCTCTCCTGCCTGACTCCATCACACGCAGCTGATTCCTGGTGAAAGATTGCTTTACATTTGCAAAACCTAAGACTCTTGTGGAACCCTCTCTGCAAATCTTACCCAGCCTGACAGGGATAAAGCTGGCTATGTTGTTACGCTAGTGAAACAGGGCAGGAAAACGTCTTGCAAACTTTGGTCAAAGTAACCCTAGGCATTGTTAGGGTCACCAGAAATCAGATTCCCCTTGCAAACAAGCTATACTGTATCTGTGCCAATACTCTCATACTATCTATTGAGTTTTGTCATTACAGAATTCTGGCAAGTCGGGCTGGGAAGGTGGCTCAGTGGTAGAGCGCTTGCCTTGCATGCCTGAGGCCCTGGGTTCGATTCCCCAGCACCACATAAGCAAAAAGACAAAAAAAGCCTGAAGTGGGACTGTGGTTCAAGTGGTAGAGCTTCAGGCCCCACGACTGGACCCCCCCCAAAAAAAAGAATTCTGGCAAGTCATTGTTGATCAATTCTGGACAAGGTGCAGGTAAGCTCTACTTATTTCTGCTCAATTTCCTCATTGTTTTGATTGGAAATTATAAAGGGTTTTGTGGCAAAAATTGCAGTTCAATGCCAGCACTGGCAGAAAAATCCCTCTGAGACTCCATCTCCCGGAAGCATGGTTCAAAAATTGACCAGCCAAATGCTGGAAATGGCATTGTGACTCAAAGTGGTAGAGGGCTAGCCATGAGCAGAAGTGTTCAGGGACAGTGCCCAGGCCTTGAGTTCAAAGACCGTGAATGCTAACTGGGATGAGTTATCCCAGCAATGAGCACCTAAACCCCAGGATGAGGGAAGTCCTGACAACAAGGAACCATGGACAGGAGTAAGAGGAGATGATGCCACATCAGCCACTTTGTGCCTACCCTCTCAAAATTAACCAGAGCTGGGAGGTCAAAGGAAATAAGTTAAGAAGCTTGTCCATGTAATGTCCATAACTGTCTACCTTCTAACTGGAGAGGAATTTACATTCCTGCCTTTGGCCCTTGCTATCTGTATTTGTAGTGAGTCTTAGACTCGGGGCTGTTAGCCCTGGCAGCTTCCTGGGTCTCCCATACAAACACTGTAATCCAGATATCTCCCAAGGCCTCCTGTCAAGCCCCTTAACCACCCCAACCCAGCCCCAGCTTCTGACTGCTGACAGGTTTAGTCATCATATGTACAAAGTAGCTAGAGACAATTTACACCAACTCCAGGACTGCCTGGAATGCAGGAGAAAAGAACTAGCTGAGTTAGCCAACTCACCCAATTTTTAATTTTCTGCCCGGAACACTTCCTTTTGCTGACTGTGTGCTCTCTAAGATTTTTATTATTGCCCAGCCCCTGCCTCATGAGACTTCTTCCAGACTTCATTCAAGGACTCATGTCTACCACCAAGGGACAGCTGCTGCTTGCTCCCTTCTCCCGGAGGGGACCACATCTATGCATCTCCACCTTTTACCTCTACTGTCAATGCTTCTTGCCAGCAGAAAGAGTCTGTGTCCTCTTTCGTATCAAAGGACTGGAGAGGTTCGATATGCTTGGGAAGGGCCCTGTGTAAGTCCTTATCTGTATAGGTCCAAGGCTGCCCCCTCCCTTACTGGGTTCATCTTGGCACGTTGAGCGCCGCCAGCATAACCAGCCTTCTCGCTCCTCTGAGTCTACCAGACCAGACAAACCACCTCGGATCCAGTGGCCTTTGCATCATAGAAATGCCAGGCACTAAATCCTATCCACCCCAAACAAATAACACCTAACTCATTTCCTCTTGAGGTGAGTTTAGGAATGGCAACCCCACCATCTGGCCCTTGCCTCTTCAGATATAGGCAACCTAAAATATCAATGTAGAGGATCCTCTTCCTCGGAGTCCCTGCAGGACCACATGTATTATTACAACATCTGGTATTGCCTGTCCAAAAGGCTAATACCTCTAACTTTTGTCTGAGGCAGGAACCAGAGATGAGACGTGTACTCCAGCCCTGCCTGATTCTGGTGTGCAAAACTGCAGCAGATATAAATACCATCTATGGTGGTTCCTATAATTGGGGAAAACCTTCATATGAAGGACCGACAGATACTCTGATGTTATGCACCCCCCTCCCCCAGGCTATAATGCTGGAAAATAACACATGCCCAGGTTCAAAATTGCACCTGCGACTGTATAGAGCTAAAGAGGGGAAATTTTACTTGTGTCAACTATGAACGCATCTTATATGCGGAGGGCCATGTTTCCTTACCTAATGGCTCATTTTTACCTATGGCAGTTACAATTTTAAATATATCCCTGACAATCTGCTTCATAACTCCCAATGCTGCCTAATCCATCTAGCTGTTGTACCAACCCACAAGGAGCTCTTCCAGCCTCAACAACAAGAAGTCTAGTGCTGGATGACAACCGTACATTGTCCCCACGTTCTCCATGATTGGGATACCAGGGCTGGTGGTAGGAGCCTATAAGTATGTCATACACTTGGCATGCATAGTGGCCAAAAGCATTATCTACACCTCCTCTCCCATTGCACTGCTATCCTTGACAGTCATGCTGCCATTGATTACTCTTACTCCACCACCAAGGGTGTGAGGAAATTAAAAAGATGTGCTGTTTTGACCTAACTGATAGCAGCTATGCCATCAAGGAACAAATCAAACATTTCAGAAAACTTGAGGAAAATATCCAACAGAATGAAGGAGGATGGGACCTATTTGGGTGGCTTACTCCCTGGCTCATGCCTATCTTGGGCCCCTTAACTGTAGTTTTTGCCTCATACTAATTCGCCTTGCTTATTCAGGTGCATGCAGGACATGCATGGGAAAGATGAGACTTTTCACCTTTCGGTCCATCAATCAGATGCTCCTAGGAGGGTACCTGGTCGAGTGTCCACCGTTGACCACTTTACCTCCTTCTCAGCAGGAAGCAGCTCCAGAAGAAATGACTTTTGCCCATGCTCTCCACCCAGTGATATCATCCAAATTGTCAAACCAAAGAGTGAGGAATGTTAGCCCAATAGCCTCCTCTCTTATAAGTTCGCATGATTTTTTCCTAGGCAGCACTAGGCCCATTTAGTAAAGGCAGCAAATGATTAGCCCATACCCCCTTTACCTGAGAGGGCACTCCTTTTGGGCAGCTATCACCATATAAAGCAACAAGATTCCCAAAATCTCGGAGGTTATAAAGATCACCTGAGACAATAGCTGGCACTTATTCTCATTTCTTCTCTCTTTTGAGAAGGGGTCTTGCCAGTCCCTTTACTGGCCACAAACCTTTCCTTTGTTCTTTGTACCTGGATGTTTGCATGGTTTTCTGGCAAAGACTAATTTATTCTAACAGCTGGTAACTACTCATTTGAAGCAGACTAGTTGCCATTGATTCATAGCTTTCTGTCACTTCTTCTCTGATATGGGACCAGATCAGACCAACCAGGAAAAAAATCTCATCCTGGTAATGTGGAACAATTGAACCAAACCTCAGTAGAGTTCATCATTGATGTCTTCAGCAAGAATTCTTCAGAAACAAGGAGGTAATTTGTCAAAATCAAATGGAGACCTTTGTGCTAACACTTCCAAAAGTAACAAACTGAGAGATTTAGAAAAGGGCTCTTACCTGACACTATGACAAGACTTACACCGGACAACTTTATGCAGAAGGTGCGCACACACCTTTGAAGGGTTTCTATTTAGACAGACAAAAAGTTACTTGGTTACAACAAACGTTATTGA